GTGAAATATTCCCGATGTTAATAATTTATGTAATTTTGATGACAGTTCGTTCGCCCATTAAGCCGTTATTCAACAAATTTTTAATGAACATGCGATTTCTCAGTCTAATGAATTCTTTTGATTTTGAGAGGACTTTTTTTTTGGATAGTTTCAAATGAATTTAAAAGAGACATACTGGATGCAAAATATTTGTCGGCTAATGACCGAATGAGTGTAAATATTTCTTGCTTTTCTTTTCTTCTTTGCTGTAGGAAAATATAACTGTGACTCGGCTTACCTGCAAATCAATCATTTTTTGATACTTCTTTCAAAGTTTTTAAAAGCTACTATTTATTGGATTTTGCATGTTTGTTTAGTTTGTTGGAAAGTGAGGTGCTCAATATCTGTAGTCCTTACTCATTGTTCTGTTAACGTTTCTTTGTTTTCTTTTAATTTATTCAAGACTTTTCTGATGCAGTCTGATTTTTAGCTTTGAAATTTCACGCAAATTTGTGTGGAGATACCTTTAACATCATTGATTTTCAAACTGATGAGCTGCAATGTGAGGTTTTTGTGGGCCATACAGTCTCACAAAATCCCACTAGTTTTGCATCGCTCTAGTTTGACGCCATTATATTTTACATTGCTCATTTCTACATATTGCTATAAATGAGATTATTGTGTTAATGTTTGAGTTATTTTTTAAAATCAGAATTGCAAAGGGATGCAAAATGAAGTAATTGGCATTTTATGAGCTATTTAATTAGCTGATAAGCACCCAGCGATTCTTGAATAATCATGGTGTGGATTCTTGAATAATCATGGTGTGGACATTGCTTCTTCAATTTTGTTAAAAACTGAAAAAAAGGAAGAACAAGACTGCAGATTAAACTTAATAAATGGTAAATCTCACTGAAATTAATTTATATGAATATGTGCTTGTTATGAACAGATTAATATGTGATTATATCTTTGTTATGAACAAATTTAAAAGCTATGACAGTGAACACGTAATACTAGGTTTAATTCGAAACTCTCGTATCGCATTCGAGTTTTATTTGGAACAAAACATATTCTAAAAAACGGCGGAAGACATGAATACAGTGATGATGAAGTTTGGCAAATCATGGGTAAGATTATTTGTTCTCAAAAAAAGTGGTAAATATTTACCTTCCGTCTGAATATATCTTTCCTTCTTGAAAAACCAGTCTAGTAAAGGATTGTCCCGTTTGAACAAGTCATCTCGGAAAACAACTAAAGTAGTGTGAGGCACATACAGTAAAAGAAATTCCTTCTAATGGTTTTCTATCAATTTAGTCGATAAATTTCGGATAGGAATTTTCTTCCAATTTATTATTAAAGAAACATTTCAGTAAAGTTTTGTTTTACTCTCAGAATAAGTCATAAATTTAAACCTTAAATCTATTTAGGCCTATACTTGTAGATCCGCTGTTCCTACTTATTATAACATTTGAAAGGACAAAATTCAAATTCGTTTGAGTATTAGAACGTGGAAGCCAAGTTTTTTTAAAGAAGATGATAGTTTAACTTGGAAATAATTTTTTCCATTATGGCCAAATATCTCCAATATGAACTTACTGGTGCCCAAAAGAATATCCGCGAAATTAAACCAAAATAATGCAATCATCAATTCTGCGATATATATTAGTTTCTTCCATTTGTCTTATAAAGCGAATTGTGTAATAAAAAAATTTAAAAGAAACGACCAGTTCTTATGATATAAAATTGCCAATTTCTACCTGTAAATGGTTTAACCTGAAAAGGTTGTGGCAGCTCTTCCGCAAAAAACTTCCAGTGCAAATTTAATTAGACTTTATAATAATGGCTATGAAAAAATAGATTCGTTGATTGATTATACTAATTTTCTTCTTTAATCTTCATTAACTGCACCATTTTCATTGATTTCGTGCAACGAAAACAAACGCAGAACCAAAAATTTGGTTGATTCAACAAAAGCTATAAAACTTGAAGTGCCTCTAATCATGCGTGAGAATTTAGCTGATCTTTGAATTCTAAATGTTGAATTTTGCAGGAAAATTTCTGATAAACTTTCATTGCTTCCTAAAATTTTAAATAATTGCCGTACATTTCCTGCTTTCTTTTTTCTGCTTATTCACACAAAGCGAATCCATTAAAAGGACGGGTAAATAGAGCCCAAATCTTTGCTGCAATTAGTACATATTTTAATTAATGTCAAAATAGAATGCGATGAAAACCTGTAACGTTTGTGTGCATGTATATATGTACGTATGTATGTACATACATTTCATATGAATTACTTTAAACGTTGGAAAGTAAAAAAAGTGAAGTATTCCAAGGAAGAAGAGAGCTGTTTGAAAGAGGAAAATCAGTGAAAGGAGAAGTAGACAGTGGAGTAGGGGAATATCGCCTGAACTTTAATAAGAGACATAATTAAATGACGGTCGTGGAAGTGAAAAAGATGACAATTGAAAATTTTAGGAGGGAAAGAACGGCTTCGCTGAATTAGAATTGAGTGATTATTCTGCAGTTCATAGTTTGAAAACTATCTATTTGACAGGATTTCATTTCAGAGTGGAGAAGACTTTTCACGAAATCCAAGATAACTCCTTCCTTATTTATTTTAGCGGATTATCCTCAACAAAATTTCGTCGATTTGAAGCCGAAAGATTTGTAATTATTGGATGGATTTCTGAAACAAAAGTGGTTGTTTGGGATAAGGACTGGATTACAGTCCAAAATACTCTCTCAAACAATAATACAACTTTAAATATAAACATGATTTTTTGGAAGGATGCAGCTGCATAGCGAAATACAGCGCTGCTTACACGTGAGTAAATTGAAACGAAGTAAAGCGTGAAAAAGTTTTCATTCCTAAAAAATGTTGCTGCTCTCCGATCGTTTCTGCAATAGCAGGAAGAATAGGACTAGCGAAGATTGTAATATTAAATTACTTTCCACGACAACTACAACGATCTTTTTATTACCCGAAATGAAAGAAACGCGTCATCCAACCGCATTACTTATCACTTATTCTTCCCTGCTTTTGTTGGGCCTTTTAGGAAATGTGTTCGCTTTGTTATCTGTGCACTCTTGCATTCACAACTCCGCCATCCACAGATTATTTGATATCATCACTGGTTACTGCTGATCTACTAATTATATTTATTTGCCTTCCTACTACTTTGCCTAATAATCTTTTAACAAGTTATCATTCCATGTTTTCTTTTTTACTTCCTCTTCAATTTCTCATTTCATTTCATTTGAACCATTTCATCCCTTCTCTATTTATTCTAATAAACTTTTGGAAAATCCAAAATCAAATCAGTTAAATTTAAAATTTGTTATAATAACACTGCGTTCTTTAGTATTGTAAATCCATGAAGCCCAATTGGAATTAAGAGTCTGCAAAAAATTAGTTTGCGAGACGTATTTTTGGTTCGTTTTGGGAAAGCAAATATTATAGTTTAATTGAAATACGCAGTCGATCTATAACAGGAATGGGATTGAAATATCCAAGCTGTAATTGCTTAATGGGATTAAGCACAAACATTGCTTAAATCAGAAAGTTGAGTGGCTAAATTAAGTTCCTTGCAAAAAATGGAGGTACTATTTGTATTGGTCAGCAGTAAGGCCACAGTGATACTGTTGTAATCGATAATCATAAGGGCAGCATTAATCAAGAGCCCCACAAGATGACTAATTCGCTGATTGACTGGAAGTTTCTGTCCTTATCAAGACTAAAATCACACGAATGAGAGCTTTCAAAGAGAGAAGAGAAATACCTCATCGAACTTATAACCATTTCAAAAATCTTCATAGTGACTCGAAAACACGGAGTACTGCACAATTGATATATTCCTATGCTCAGATTTCCAATTATCTCATGGAAACTCTCTCTATTCACTGTAATCACTGACTCTTCTCCTATCTCCGCCCGGTGTAGTTACCCAAGACTTCGAGCAGTATTCTGGACCATCCTCCATATATCTTCTCAACTTAATCAAAACTTCTAGCTCATCTTCCACTACGCTCCAACCACGATACTGCCATAAATTGGTCATTTTGAGCTTATAGAGGTTCTTAAAAACATGTAATCCTCAGTTCTAAAATTTTTAAAGGTCGGATCTGGAAGCTATCTGTTCATATTTCTATACCTTACTGCAGGATGGGTTTCTATATTAAATTATATGGTCCAATTGTTGAGTATTGCACTTTTGTCTCTTCTTTTATGTTTATAAATTTAAGCCCAAATACTTTAATGTAATTACTTTTCGAGTTTCTAAACTCTTGTATTAGATTCTTGAAAGAGTTATGCTTATGTGTTTCTATATTGAAAATTCTTTTTCATTTTCTTCCATCACCTTATTGAAATGTAATGGAACAAATATACAGATGACATCATTTTAATTAAGCTAAAATCTGCCCAAAAATGAAATTAATCTTAAAAGATAAAAGCCTAAAAAGCAACAAAATTAATCAAATTTTCTATTTCTCACTTTTCTGACTTTTTACCTGTGAGGCAATATGCAGCTGCGCAAAAAACCAAAGGTTTCCCCCAAATTGAACTTTTGCTCTAAATGTAGTTGAGGAATTTTCAACATTTCTGCAGAATTTTTTTAGGAACTGGAAAAGTTTAAATGAAATGTTAGATCTTAATTAACCTGCATGTTATTAGAATGACAATTGCAATTGATATTAACGATCAATTCATAGTTGTGTACTGAGAATGGACGATGTTCTAAATTCCAGAAAGTTATAAATTCAATTGAATATTCTGCATGGGTCAGATTTATTATGCTCAACTTTGCATTTAAAATTTAAATCTAAGTTGTTACATAGTAAAATAATCGTCGTTGATATTAATGTTGGTAATAAATTATTCCCAGGTTAATTAGTTATAGTTAAATGAAAATCTACAAAAACTTCTAGTGTATTGTCAGTGCTTCCACTAATGCAAAATGTGGCAAAAAATACAAAGACAAGCATAGATGGTTTCCAAACTGTCCTAATAGATTGAAGTGTTTTTAAAAGGTTGAAAGTGCAGACGAAGTAATGGAAACTTTAAAGACTTCAAAAATTGTTATAAAACATAACAGCAGCAGAATTGCTATTGCTATTGTTGAAAAAGCCGCTAATGAAAACTTTTCTCCGTAACTTTTATATGGATAAGTTCGTTAATAAGTGAAAGTCATTATCCATGATGTATCTCTGAATTATCCATGAGGTGAAGTAAATGTGGCTGTTCAAATTTTATCGAGATTTCTTTTTTAGGAATATGCTATGCTTTGGTGCAATATTCTGAAAATTATTTAATAAATTTAATAAATGCATATACGTAAAATATATCGATATACATTTTCATAATAATTTAGGGATTCAACATATGTTTCAAGGAGGGAAGGGCTATGCAAAGATGCTTAAAAGGATTGAAAATTTGAAGTGGAACCGACATGGTCATAAAACGTTTTATGACAGCCAATATCAAAATGTTTTTTTTAATGCTGAAAAATAAGTCAGCCGATCCTGTGATTATCTTTTAAATTCTTTCCAGACATAATTTGGAGCATAATTCAGAAAATGTGCAACCAAATTAGTGAATAAGAATACTTTTAGAACTGTGGTAAATTAAAACTTCAATTTTTCCAAGCTAATTTTAAGCTCAATTTTTTTTTATTTCTTCTAATACGTATTTCAACAACATTTGAAAAGTTAAATGTACGTCTGCATATTTAAAAATAGGTATTTAAAAAACAGAAGAGTCGAATTGAAACTAAAATAAAAAGCACAGTAAATGAGAAACTTGACTTCTTTTTCTGGACCACACAATAAGCTTCAAAAAAGTATTGACAAAATTATAAAAACACTCTCGGAAATTTGAAACAGTGAATAGTTTAATCGATGTTTTGGCTCAAATTTATGCTATTTATATACTTATTTCGGATAGGCTCGTTTCATAATATCATACTGCATATGTTGTCGGAAAATTCTGTTTTTTAAGAGTTTTCCAATAAAATGTTACCAGAATGTTGAAAATAAATTTAGATCACTGAATGAGAAGTGGTAAACAATGTTTTTTGTATTTCTAAGGTGCCGAAAGAATGGTAAAATTGAATTAATTGAATAAATTTAAAAGGAAACATGAAGTTTATTAAATGAATAAATTGGAAAGGAAATTTGAAGTTTGTTAAATTAAGATTGCTGAAAAATGAAGAAGGATCCAACGCTTTCATAAATAGACATTCGCAATAACTACAAACATTAATTGAAGAAAAGATACGAAGAATTCCAGATAAATTTGAATATTGTAAAAGAGAAATATCGTGAAAATTCCTTAGTAGAGATTCATCTTTCGAAGCCTTCTCAAATATAATTTCATTGTACTTTGGGGCGAAATCAATCCAATCTGTTCCTTCTAAATAGTACATAAAGTGTACTGATAACAGCACTGTCGTAAAGGTACACTTCCTGTGAACTGTTCTCTTCATAAAACAAGAGCATTGTTTAAATTAATTTCAATGTTTTTAATAACATTAATATCAAATAAGATCTACGAAATTAGTGCAGAACATTAATTGTGAAAGTCAATCAGCACTATTCATTTCCCAAAAATTTCCTTAAGTTTCAATTTTTAATCGTTACAATTGGAAAGCAGTTTCAACACAAAATATTGTTAGAAACAATATTCACTCTAAATATTATTCACATTGAATCCATCGAATGATACCTTGGAGTACACCTATGCATCGCAATACAAGACGAAGCAATAAGTTTTATTATTGTGAACTTATTACTATTTACATTTATCATTCCATTTACTCTAATATCAATATTTTATACATGTATTTTCATCACCGTATCAAATCAAATCATTCTAGTTTAGCGTGAATGCCAAGGTAATAATATTAATTTGCGGAATTCTTGAGAATTTCATAGTAAAATTTTAGAAAACCTCAAAAAACGCAATTCTTAATTTTGTAATGAACGCGTCACGTTACGAGTTATCCAAAGATGTTTACAATTATTATTATTGCTTTTGCATTATGCTGGCTACCTTTATATGGTTTGATCACTGAGCATATTTTTTGAATAATAATTTATCATTTTGATTATAAATTTAATCTTCCTCTGTTATAAAAGACTGCGGCTTCTTTGAAATAGTTCTCATGTCTCTATGAGGATTAAAACTCGAAGAATTGAAATCTTCTGAAAAAATATGTAACATTTTTGCACAAATCCGAATTTAATTTAAATTTGTTACATCAATTTATAAATGTGCAAACAGTTACTGTTACAGAAATACTTTTATTTTTTCCTTACGAATGACTACAGCATTTTCCAGTAGTTATCTCTCTTGTCATCATCATTAAATCCCCTTATCCATATTTTCTACAGTGAAAAGTATCGACGAGCATTCCGCAACCTTCTTACCCTACCATGACTACTGTCAACGGTATGAGCGAACACGGAGCGTAGCAGAAAGTACTTAAAGATTATCACTAAAATTACGTGCACCTGAGAAGACATTATGCTGCGGACGATTCAAATCAACATGCGATGCTGTCAACACAGTAAAACACAGCACAAACTGTCCTCCCCTCAATCACAGCAAATCCGAATCATACCACATTTCCTTTTAAAATTCAACAAAAATTGCTCCTTTTCCATATCCTTCAATAGTTATTGCTTCCATGTACATCAAAAAGTTCATACAATCTTGCTTGATTCCATCCTGCAAACGACAATGCTCTTTGCAGCACCTTTAAAATCGGCCTTTTAGGGACAAAATAAAACAAAGAATTAGTTTGATACCGATGAAATTATTTTGGTACTTTTAAGCCATATCAAAATTATCAGAGAGAAAAGACAACTACTTTTGCAGACAAAGTTCACAAAGTTGCTCATGAGAAGAAAGCTAATCTCTCAGCCTAGACCCTGAATTCAATATCAAATACTTTCGTCTTTTCGATTCCTCATAACTTGCAAGTTTATTTATTTCCTTTCTTCCTTATTATCTGTTTGAGTCATATGTATATCAGCTAAAAGAACTCATTAATTCCAAATAAGGTAGCGGAACACGGAAAATTCAAGTAACAACGAACATGAGATCCATATAAGTTACCGACATCACTATCCTAAATTCGAAACTTTCATCTTGACATCCAATTGGAAAAAATAATTGGACACATGAAACTGTTATAGGCAAAAATTGATAAACACTTTAGCGTATTTCAAAGCAATTCATTTAACAAAAGGCAGGTTGACTAATGAAGACTGAATTTCGTAATCTCCAAAAAGTGAAATTTAACCAGACAGAACCTATGTTAAAAAAAATCAGTATGTCTTTCCGCAATGATGTAATATCATTATATTCCATTAAACATATCCTCCTGAAAAGCTGTGATAAAAATGAAAGAAAATTATTGATTTCTTGCACACCTCCGATGAAGGAAAAAATTTGCATAATTTGTAAGAGACATGAAATCATTTCGTTTAAGAGCTCATTCTTCCTGGTTGCGTTCATTCTGAGCAGTTTCTTCCTCATCATTCACTGTCCTCGCACATTATCCGGTTGCTTAAAATGAATAAACGTTTGGATCCGAAGAAATCGAGCCAAACAAACGTACCTTTTGTACAATCCGGTTAGAGTTTTTCAATATCATTTTTGTGCTGTCCTAGAGTGCTACAATTTCAGCGCTTTTGTATTAAAATTATAATTAATACATTTGTTAAATTTCATTCAAAATGATGTGTAAACTCAAAAGAAATTAATCGCTTAAAATGATCTAATCTGGGAATTGTTTAAAAAGCATAAAAGAATTGTTTTTTATTCTGATTTTGAAAGGTTTCATTTCAAAACTTAAAACTTTTTGCTATGAGATCGCAGCTTATTCAATGCAGGCTTTAAGCGTCACAGAAACTCCATTTAAAGAAAAAATATGCTGGAAATTTCAGTCGCTCCGGGAGCTTCTACAAGAATGAAATCGTCAACGATGAATTGGACAATAAGTGGTAGTAGATGTGCAGCATTGGCACCATCGGTACCGCGACCATTGCCAGTGCGATCACCGACCCCGGGAGAACGACCACTCCGACCACTACTTCCCACTGCTTATCCGAATGTCTGTTGATTTTTTTATGAACCAACAAATCAATCTGAAAAGAAGCTGAACATTAATGCTCTCTTTATCATATATCCTACATTCTTATTGTTTTCAATAAATAACTGCATCATTTCTAGAAGAGCAACATAATGTATGCAAATTTTTTCTTTAGATAGATATGCTTATCAATGAAATCCGTAACTTTTCGCTTAATGAATGTATGCCAACTTTGATTGATGAACAATGTTCCCGACGCTATCGCCAGGTTTATACACGTACGACAAACCATACGTGGACTTTGCCTAGGACTGACACGCACTCACTGCTTGCCACTGTCAACAATGCCCAATCTGCACAGAAAATTGCAAGTTGCAACTGTTTTGCTATAGCATTAATTTTAGCTTAAAATAGTATATCTCATTTGTTGGTCACTAATTAGCCAGAGAGCCATGTCTGCTTTGTGTTCTGCTGCACAAATAGATATTAGCCGATTTTTCAAAATATTTGGGAAAAAAATCAATCTGTAATGCTATGTTTTTCTGTTAATTCACATTATGAAGGTGTGAATCATAGATGTTTCCTCTGCAGGTCAGTATCACTTATACGGACCCCTCTGGTGGAAGTATGATAATAACACGTCGCCGTGAAGATGGTCATTTTGACGTCCGTGTCGTCTACTCTCGTGATTTCATTGTTGCTGCATCGGCTAGTCCACTTGCGCTATTGCCACCTCCTAATTTCCGCCAAATGGTCCTCGAAATGATGGAAATTATTGCAAAATTCCCTAAAAGCTATTACAATACGATTTCCCGAGACTCGGCATCCACCGGCCCAAAATAAATTCTGTTCCTTTTTTCCCGTCCTCGCGTCTCGACACCCAGCCTTTTCAAACAATATTTCATTGTTTGATCACAAAACTGTGAAGAATTGAAAACTTATTACAATTACCAGGGAAACACATCGAAATCTGCAACTTAATGCTCCCACAGTCACTTCCAGTCATCAAGATATCCCAAATCATACACATCGTCTTCTTCTCAATGCCCACTTACCTATTGTAATAGCGAATCAGTCAATTGCTTTTTTCCTAAAGTTTGTCAGATGAATTTGATTCCACTCATTTCAGTGTTACACTTATTACTGTACCGCGCTGCACGTTAATCGAGATCCCTGTCCCGAATCATTTATACCACATGCCACCTTTTTCGTTCTATAGTTGCTAATTGAATGGCACAAGCTCCTCTAACTTTCAAATAATTATAATACTCTCTGCCCATCCCAAAAGAAGACCCATCCCAAATGCTTAATGCAAAAGCGATAGCAATTAAAGACACGGAATTGAGTGGATGTTGACTTCTTTGTCGTTGTATCATTGTCATTTCATCTGTCTCAAATAAACGTTGATGTACAAAAATGTGCGGTAAGGAAGCAATAACTTTATTCAAATATACAGTCATAAGAGCAGAGCCAACATACGACGTATGCTGCAACAATGGAAACAAACGGATGCATTCTCATTTACAAACAGATAGAGGGTACTATGAGAAGTGAATACACCTAAATTTTATACAGCCAATCCCTTTTCTTCCTCCTCCTCCAAACACTGGCCTATCACGCACAAGTTATAGACAATTTTTTTTACACGGAACCATAATCATAAAAATTAATCGTTTAACACTGTGTATAAAAAAAACTCAAAAATACTATACGAAAATAGCACAAATTCAATTTTTTTCGAAGGAATTAATAATTACTTGAGATTTTACGATAAAAAACCACAATTTTCATAATTGAAACATTTTCCACACAGAGTAAATTTATGTGGAAGGGCAAGAAACAAACATTGCCAAACCGCAAGCAATGAATTGTGTACCCTCGCTTCCGACGATAATAAATTATCGCTAAAGGTTTCCAACAGCGACATATGGGGAAAAAAATTTCGGAGAGATTTAATTCTTTTCATAATGCAATGGAACGGAGGAAACGGAGAGAGAATGACCTGTGATAGAGATCGACTTTAATTCACATAACCCATACTTATTTACAAGTAAATAGCTAAGGAAGTTTACTCACTTTTCGTATTTAACCGTAATATGAGACATACATATGAAGAACGGTCGAAAAACCGTACTGTAGTTACTAAACGAAGTAGTAATCGGTAGACTATAGAGAGTAAAATAAAAAAAGCTTCAAATTTTGGAAAAAAAAATCATGTCCTGCACCACTTGTTACAAACTGCTACTATAATTTTTTTGGATTAAAAAAAATCGATTTTGCTCATTCTTTTGAGAAAACATAAGACAAGATGAAAATAGCTTTAGTCAATTTGATATTTATAAAATTTGCACGGATTTCCGAATTAACCGAAAGAGGCACAAAAACAAATGGTCCCAAAATGAAGCGTGATATTTGCTCAAGCTCGATGTAATCTGTTTTCATCTGCCAGGCAAAATTACAACCAAAAACAAACACAACCCAGTAAAAATCGATCTAGCAGAAAAATATCATTTGTAAAAAAACGATTGAAGTTCGAGAACTGGAGTGGAAGGAAACAGAACAAGTTCAAAACTCATATCTGGTTAACAAAATATACAGATTATGGGAGTATTAAACAATATTAACATATTCAAAAGCTAACCATACGAAATTTCTTGTAATGGCGATTTGTAGTTGTTGTCCGGCGAACAAACACCACAATTTTGATTTTCACTTCTTTTTTGGAAAGCCAGACAGAAACATTATGCTCATTATTATTTACTGTCGATTAGTGTTGAATGGAGGCCGACCGTGTCCAATAGGTCCCAGTTTGGTTGGAACAATGCGCTGCGCTTTTACCAAACCCATGGCTACCGCTTTATCGACAGGTAGCTATAAACAGAAATAATAATGATCAACTATTTGGGCCAGATGTTGCGCTCATAACACACTTTTTGTCAAAATTGTCGCCGAGCAATTCACAAACGTGATACGTTTATTCGGCGTATACAGAATTGATCGCAGTGTCGAGATCCAAATATACATGAGGGCAGAGGGTAAATTATATATGAAAGATTCTCCATCTGTTTTTATCTATTTCAAAATTAATATATTTCGTCACTTCCGTGCTCTTTTTTCTCCCCATAATGTTCAGCTAAAGAAAATAACTTACTTATTGATGACAAACCTGTTTGTGAGGGAAAACTGAGATGTGACATTTAATGCAGCTCTGTGCTTCATTAGCAACAGAGTTCTGACTCGTCCATTTTCTCTTACACTGCTGGCATTGAAATTCACCGTAGCACTTCTTCCGACCCTGATAAGGGGTTAGCTCCTCGTATGGACTGTTAAAACGCTGCAAAGTTTTTAAATTTTAGAACTTCTCCATACGATATTGTTTTCTTTTTTATACTGTACGCATAACAGCATATTTTTGCGCCAATTTTATAATTCTGATGTTATTTGCAGCACTAATAGTTGCAATCATTGTATAAGTATGTCATCTGGCTCCTATTGTAATTGGTACAATGCAGCCAATAACAGCACGGTATGATTACTCCCCTCAACAAAAAAAAAAATGAATTGGAACAAAGCAATTTAAACATTCCGAATTACTCCAGAATCTCGAAATTTTCTCAACTGGACAGCTAACTATAATTACAGATTTAAAAATACGAACCACTGGACAATCGGAGATATAATGTCCAGTGCGATAACAAATATGGCATTGATACTTCGAAGGAGGAGCTTTTTTTGGCGAGCAGAGCAACTGTGTGAACTGAGCAATTTCATCCGACGAGAATCCATCTTCCTGTGCTGCCTGTGATGGCAAATTTTCGTCGTTCTCCGAACCTAGAGACTGAAAGCAAGAAATTTTTTATAAGTCATTTTACGACAGTGAAAAGCACAAAAGGATGACAATTCAGTGGGGGATGCTCTTCCGGGCACTTCGGAGAAACGGTAAAAAAAGTTTTTAAAACATTAAAAAAAATTGCTTTTTTTAAGGCCATATAAGCGATTTATAAATACCAAACGAACGTGTTTTGAAAATCAATGATTTGTTAGCCCAGCAATAACTTTGTTCTGATTAAGCACAACGTTGTTACACATAAAAAAGTAGAGACAAAATTTTGTACATGAAACTATTTATTTATTACTCTAAAATTGGTATACAGTGACCAGAAGTCAAACAAGTTCAGCACATATCAATGGTGCTCAGTTTTCAGTTCAACATTTTTTGAATCCATCGTTGTCTACTACAGACGGATTAATCTAGTTCAGTAGTTCGAAGAAGTTCTGTAAAACAAATAACACTGCTATTACAAAATTAGAAAGATTTTGAGATTTCTGAGCAGATGGAAAGCGGATGAACACGATACGAAGGTCCACCATTCACTGTTATCCATTTCTTTTGTCTCCCACAGAATATTTTTCTCAAATTTATTAAAATTTCCAAAATACCTTTTTGTTGTGCTCATTATAGATAACGGTTGGACCAAGCGATGCTGCAACATTTTCGAAATCATCATAGGATACCGGGTCACAAAGTGCACGCTGGATATGACTAGGCAACGAAAGGACTTGCGGTGCGGGGCTCGACAGTGGTGTCTCATCAGTTCCAGGACTTCCGTACCCGGAACTTGTTCCACAATCAAGAATATCTGAGCCGGAGGGCGAGAAGCATAATCCACTAACGGTTCTCTGAATTATAAGACTGAACTGATCACTGATCTCCTACCCATAAAAGCAAAAGAAAGAAGGTCGCAATCAGGAAGTAAAAAAATCAGCACTCTTTATAGTAGGAAGTACTCGGAAAAGATGCATAGGTTCGGAAAAAGCAACTCTTGACTAACCCCTGCCGGACCTGATTTCATACTCGGAGTTTTGGAAACCAATGAAACCCACTGAAAAAAAAAGCTCACAAAGCAATACCTTAACCAAGAGTGTCGTATGTGAAAACATCACAATTATACTGTTTTTGAACTAAAATTGGCCAAACTTACAAAAGGATCGGAAATTTGCGTTGGTGAACTTGCCACTGTATTTGACCGAATTTGTGCAAACTGCTCAGCGACATCCAACGCCAAGCGGTCGTATTCAAACATTTTGGCTCACTCACCTAAAAATTCATTTACAAAATTTGTGAACAAAAAAATCCAAACAACTCCGTTATATTACACGTGTCGACGTTTATAACGCGTGAAACGTGCATAATAGGCACTCATAATAAGTAGAACATTTCACTTCCTACTTCGGAACTTGCAGCATCAATAAATAAATCTCGTACATTCTCAAAAGCTTGCAGCGCACGATGACAACTGCACTATAGAAATGCTTGATCTCTGAAATTTGCAAGACCTGACACGCATCAAAACATGTAAAACATTTACAGCGGAAGACGGACGATGCGTTTTAATTACTGGTTTTCAAATACCAGAGATGAACATCAAATATCTAACCTAACCACGACCTCTTCCTTATTTATCACCCTTTCATGTCGCAAATACACGGATTACCACGTGAAGAAAATATGATTTTCAAACAAATTTCGACTGATACCTCGAACAGCAACTTACCGAATTCTAATTTAATCATAAAGCAACTTTCCAATACTGGTATTTGACATTACCTTGGATGGAAAGCAAGAAATTTGATGAAATATCGTGTTGCTTCAGTTTGAACCGCACCTCTCCATTACATGTATAAGGGGGAAGTGAATTCACGACGGCTACAGTGTTTTGATATTTTAAAACAGAAACTGTCGAAGTGCGTTAGAAATAACTTAACAATAAGAATAATAATACATGATGTTTTGAAAGCAGTCTCACCGTTTACAGAAAGGTAGGATTTATCAATGCTGAACA